CAGGTTCTAGCGAAGCCGTTAGATCCAAGCGGCCAGACGGAGCCCCCCCAGTTCTCGTTCGGCGGTGAGGCTTAGCATCACGGAGGGAGTCCTCCAAGTAATCAAGGACCACAGTTACGCTCGCCCATCTCTTGTCACTTGTCAGATCTAGTCGCACCACAGACTCAACACCCCAGATTGTCCAACCATTGGAACAGTTTCCAGAGTTTCGGTTGCGACCGGGAGAACCCTCGCTGCCTTCGCGGGACCAGAATGCATTCCTGCCGCTCTGTCAACCTGACTTGGGTCGTTTGGGTCTCCGACTTGGGTTCGATTGTTCCTCAATGTGCCACCCCGTTGTGCGACAACTGTCACCATCTCCTCTTCAAGTTTCTCTGATAATCGTTGGCGTCTCCTTCGTTCCATCGATATTCTAGGTCTCCTTGACAAGGATCTAGCCCTCGCCCTGCCTGCCATCAAGCTATCAATGGGAAAGGCGGCCAGGCTTGCGCTTCTCGCATCAATAATGTCAACTTGGCGATCCAACCCCTCATCATAGCTGGTCTGTTATTTCTACGAAAAGACAAGGGAGCATGTCCATAGACACGGTGACGCACGTGGCTCGAGATCGATGGGAGGTTACGTTCACAACACCATGACACCACGACACGCGCTTCTGCTACTGAGATGGGATCGGCGCTACGTTTCCTTTTGACACAAACGCGATTGCTGGCATGTTCATGCATTTAGTCCGTTCAGTGCTCATATTCAGACAGTCTTGCCCCGTTGTGTCCTTATCTTCCCGCGTGGGGCATGGCACTCGACTTTCACTCTATGCCGTCTCCCCCACAAGTCCGCGAGACGCGACACCTCGGTCGAGGCACATACCTCGAATGTTTGCGTCGTAATTTCAACATGTAACCGATTTCCCGGTCCTTGCGCTCCGCCACGAGTCTCTACGCCGTCTCATTGCACCAACTCCACGCCATCAACGTCGACAAGCCCTCTGTCGTGGACCGACTCGGCCTCCGGGGTACCTGCACCATCAAATCAACGTTGCCTTTACTCCAAGACGCTATCGTCGACGGCCGGCACAACCCCAGTACCAGAACTAGGAATGTCTCGGGAGTCAAAGACACCATTGGCGCCGCCACAAAGTTTTCAACAAATTCGAGGTCGTCTACATCTCTACCTTCGAAGCTGGCCTCTCGCTCTCTCGCCCCTATTCAGCTCTAGCTCAACCCGTCCCCCTGTTCACAAAGCCGTTGACACCATGCGAGGGTTCAGCCAGAGGCGTGTCGAAACAAGTGGCTGCTGTCGCTGCGCTACTTTGCAGGCGCACCTGTCAAAACCACCGCCGTATTGATCCTCCGTCCAGTTATTGCGGCTGATCTGAGACATGATCGAGCAATGTATTCGGCGACGAGACTGTTCCAGAACTCGGCTCTTTGCGGGCATTTGACGAGAATCCACTGAGGGACATCAGCATCGACAGCGACATCAACCTCGGCTGCCGGCATGTTCGCCGTTGTCCTTGACTGACGAGCAAACAAATAATCCGATGAGGCAATGGTGGTCGCACTTGAATGTGCTTGTGGAACACTCGGTCGTCGGTTGTATCCGCTGGATGCAGTTTGCACGGCGAGGTTTGGCAAGCATCACTTGCAGCGCATACGCGGACATCGGTGTTATCTCTCGTCGCTTGAAGCGTTTGCTTCATCTCAGTCCATGTCTTTGATTTGCGTATCCGGCCCGCTAATGTTTGTGCCAGCTACATACCGAGATCGAGGTTCTGGGCCACGGTCCCAGGACTGTTCAACCGCTTCGGAGCTTGAATATCGTTTAGGGTATTACCGACCTCGCTTGCTATCCATGCTTCCAAGGAGACGGGCGTATCGTGGTCATTCGCCTGTCTTATCCTCCATAGTCGGCATATGTTCGTCGAAGCCCGTCGGAACACACCTCGCCTATCGCATGCGTTCTGGCAGAATTGTAATGAACAGCTTTGTCTTCGATGTTTATTTCTATATGCCCGGCGTGAGGGGCCTATGGCTTCTTCGTCAAATCTATGTACAGACTGACAATGCTATGCCATGCCCCCGTTTCTATCTATTAGTCTATCTATTATAACACTCTACAGGCATTGTCTCATGCAACTATGGTCCTTATCCATGAATCGACTCTGGTTCGAGGTAGACCGACAGCAACTAAGGTCAAGCCGTTACTTCCTCCTTGATACACCCTGCATTCCATATCATTTCGATGCCCAGCGATTGGAATCGGGCATTCATAGTGTCTACGCATTGCACATCAAGGTCGCTTTTCTCTATGAACTCGTCATAGTTGACCTGAACAACCTTCAGATTGGGTAACGTGAACAAAGATTCTTCGGCAAGCCGCCTGAGCTCTTCCTTGCAGTTTTGGTCTGCATGCAAGATCTCAACCCGACGAATGGACGATGGCAAGACTTCGGCCAACCTCCATTCGGTGTATAGATCCACTCCATATTCCGAGGGAACTGCTCTTGGGGTATTGTCGATTGCCGCTTGATCAAATACAAGCTCCTCTAGATGCTCAAAGGAGCGGAAAGACCAAGCTATCCCGCCAGACGCAACTTGCCGGGAGTCTGCCCTAGGCGACCGACTACAATTGTGAGAAAGACGCAGTTTCCGTAGAGTATGGCGAACCGGGTCAAATGCCTGAAGCAATTTTGACATATCCCAATAGTCAAATCCCGAGTTGCGGTAGATTTCTTTCGCTGTGACTGCCAGCTCCTCCAAACTCGGGCAGCACTTCACCAATAGATTAAGATCTTCAAAGCCTATCTCGCTCAGCGACAATCTCCGAAGATTGCCCAACTTCAGCGTCCAAGGCTTCACGAGAGTCCAAGGACTTTGACCGTCGAAGAGACTGCAATGCATTGAATGCAAGTTTTCAAGATTTGGCGCCGCGGCGAAGAGCGCAGAGGCCTCATAAATGTGATGGTTCTTCCTGACGCCCCTGAGAGCAATTGATCGGAGTGCAGGGAAGGAAGCCCGACTATCTCTGATATGCTCATAGTCCACAAAGCTATCACGGGCTATGAGAAGCATAGCGAGGTTCGGCGATAGCAGAATTGCCAACTCCCCGAGCCAGTGGTGAATCTTCCGTCGCTGGATTCGCAACAAAGCTTCTGGCTGACCGGAGAACCCACGCCATGTTTTCGTTTGGAGATAGCCCCTGCTCGGAGCGTGCCGTAGCGCGCCAGCATCTTCGGTCGCTTTGATGAGGAGTGGAGCTAGTTCTGGCGTGCACCCTCTGATCACGTCGTTCTCTACCAGCTGTAGCATTCTGATGTGAGATGCTAGATCCGGACGCTGTATGATGCTGCGCAGGAAGACGGGCAGCTTGTCTTCGTATTCGTCGTCTTGTGAGGGCTTGCTAGGTTGTGCTCCGATACCGCAACCATGCCTTTGAAGTAACCCGCCCGTGGCGTAGTCGTGGAAAAGGAACGGCTGGGCAACAGCGCAAAATCCTCTGGAAACGCGACAAAGTCGTGATAGTGCCCTTTTGCTGAGTTGATAGTCGTCGCTTTCGGCGTCGGAAAAAGTCCCTGGGTGTCGACAGTGGAAGCAGAGTAATGAGCAGATTTGCTCCACGAGCTCGAGAGGCAGCGAAGCCATTTTCTGGAGAGTGTTTGTCGAGTCTGACTTGTTTTACAGGCAAGGTGTTTGCATCAACACTCTCCACCGCTCAGGGTTCGCCATGATGATAACATGCGCGAGGTCGGCCATGGGCCGATTGAAGTGCGCAATTATATCTTGCGATTAGCATGCTCGACTTTTTTAATAACGCGTTCGGGCGGGCGTGGCGGACGTGTACTACAGGGATGCCGGCTTGACAAGGTTCACCTGTGTTGTCAAAAGTCTGCTGTTAATATATGGGTGATGGTAATTACCGGCCCATTTCGCGGCGAGCCTTGCCCTCTGTGAAGCTCTCGGGAAAGAGTCATGAGATTTAAGCTTTTACGATAGCAGACCGAACGCTTCGTACAGTGATATCATTCCGGGTCTTCCGGTACAGTTTCATGCTCTGAGCGACGGCAAAATGGCACGCCAGCGCCGGCGCCGGCGCCGGCTTTCCACGGAGGCCGGCTTAACGCCCCGCAACGTACAATAAAATCGCGATGCATCCATGATTCTCTGCGTAGACTTGATCTGGTGGAGAGGCTGTTGAGATCCTGATTTCTGCTTTGTTCTTGGAGGAAAGAATTTGGAGCTTTAACTTAACGACTCTTATTCTTTTGACCCAGCAACGTCGTTTCCATTGTGAAGGACGCAGTGACACTATTTGTCCGTCACTATCAGTGTCAACTGCAATGCGTAAGCGCAGCTACGGCCCAGCATTTGAATATCAAGATGCACATGCATCAGACATTGACAACGAGCTTCACCAACTCGCTGACTACCCAGACACTGGACCACGCTTTACTCTATTGCCCGCACTAGGCGGTTGCATTACTCATGTTCTCTGAGAGAAAAGTAAAGCCGAACTCTGTCAAGCCACCCAGGAGACTTTGACAAGAACTTCCATGACGACTAAATTCGTGTATGTTGGTCATAATTCGCGTGGTGATTCTCAAATTGGTCATGCAACTTTAAGATCAAATCTACTCAGCTTCTGAAGTTGGCAGCCCGTCGTCAATGGGCGGAATTGTGCCCTTTTACCAATAAGATGCATCACTCGAAGCAAAGGTTTCGTCACTCTCCGAGTGCCGATTTATATACAAGTAGGGCGGCCGTTGCGCCGGTGCGAAGCTCAATATCCTGGTATCAAACTGCCGGTGTGCACGAAAGGAAGAAAGAGACGAAGCCTATTGCTTGCACCGAAGTAGAAGTAAATTGATAGAAGAGCTTTTTGTAGCGCCAATGCCACCTACGAACCAAGAAGAATGTTCCTAGATTGAGAGATCCAGTCGGGGACTCGGGGGACAAGCCGCGAGCAAAGTCTACCTAGTAAGTTGAGTGCGAATTGCTCGGCGAATCAGTCTATTCAAGGATCTTCCCCAAAGACGGCTTTTACTACACAAGCGATCATCAATTCAAGCAGCAACACAGAGAGCGCCTTTGTCAGTTTCGTCGCGCCAACCATCAACCGCTATAAAGGCAACGTGTGCGGCGGTTTCGAAATCCATCTATACGAGCGAATGACTGGCAAACAGTCAAGAGCGCGCCAGCCCAAGCACTGCCCCAAGTCAAGATCTAAGACAAACGCGTACAAATGACGCCTTGCGGTCCCTACGCCGCAGCATACGTAGCGTCGAGAGACCCCTTAAACCCTTGGTCAGCAATCTGGAATCTACCTATGCGCCTTCTTAAAGCCTCGAGCCAAGCAATCGGGTCATGCATGCCACGCGGCAACTTCAATTATGGGCGTTACGGATAATCGCGCTTTAGCTAGTCGGCTTTAATCTCACCTGTAATACTCGATGTAGCATCTGGGGTGTGGAGTTCCTCAGCCATTGTCTCGAGTTATTGTGGCGATGCAACTGGCGTTCGAACCTTATACGCGTATACGTCCTCACTAAACTCCGCGTATATGTCAAAAACCAGTTGCCGAGCCATAACGAATACATGTAAGCAAAAGTCGAAGAATATACAAGATGAATTGTTCAGTTTCAAATCTTCTACAAATTTCCAACTTCACCACCTCATCAGACCTAGAACCGCACTCATCGATCATCTACAATCAGACCGAAATCCGATCCACCGCCCGTCAAAACCGCCGACTCAGCACGAAGATCTTACAGTAAACATAAGGAAAACGATTATCGTCATCATGGGCATCCGCGACTTCTTTGACGGTCGATTTTTCGATACCAGATACAAGACCAAAATCCACATCGCGCAAGTCGCCCTAATGGCACTGGCCATCATCCTCACCATCTGGCGCATGGCCATGCCGGTCCCCTTCACTCGCGGCAACATCATGGCCCTTACAATGGTGAGTTCTTCGTGGCGGGGGAAACTTTGCAACGTTCCTTTTCGCAATCATTGTTGTCGAGAATGAGACTGATACCAGACGATTACAGGGTTTCAAGTCTCTTATCATTATCGGCTACCAACTTCTGACGACTCATAAGGAGCGCTTCAAGAAGTGGGCTTCGCTCAAAGCCAACGCTATCCTCAACACAATGGAGATTTTGTTCTGGTTCGTCGCCTTCGGTCTGTTGTGCCAGGCGAATGGAAGGTTCTGCACTGGTGGAAGCTGTGCTCTCAGCTGGATTGTGACTCTCATCGTCATGGTGTTGATGTAGGTTTCTTTGCCTCTGCCCAAAGGCAGATCCGGCTCTGCTTAATATCAAAACGCTGACATATTCGCACCAGTGTCCTTGCCTTCCAGACATCGGTCGTGTCCATCAAGGACTACCGGTACTGGAAACACTTTGGCATCAACCGAGAGACGGAGACTAAAGCAGCTTACCCGAGACCTCAAGTCTGAGATCTCGGATATACACTAGGTGCAGGTAGCACTACGATAAGGATCGCCTTGAAAAGGCCACAGTTGAAGGATTGCTGTACGGCGTGCTTCGCTTTGCCTTGAAGCGGACTAGTGTGGGAAGAAAGTACTCCGCTGGTTGTCACCACGGACAGGCTGATCGGAGGTGCAAAGTTCATGAGTGATGGAACGTGAATCACGGAATTACGGCTGCGCCTAACATTAGGGGAAATATGGGTTGACTCGGTGGTTGGTTTTGTGGCCGGAGGTCTCGGCTGATCCGTATCTTCGGGTCTTCTTAACATTAGCGATCAGAATGCGGGGCCGAGCCCGGAGCAGGCGTTGTTTTCATATCCACAAAACAAGACCGCCCATCCGGAATTCGCCAATTCTTAACATTAGGGGAACGGAATCGAACTAAATAGGCGGGGTAAACCGCCCATGACTCAACAACAAAGGTCTCGTTTGATTTGTAGGGGATTTGATTCGTCTTGTTCTGTCCTTATCTGCCCCGGTTTTACCGTTCTTCCCCAGCTGACCCCGCGGCAAAGCTGTACTATTATTACGGGGTATTTATGTTCAGCATCATTCCCAACCCTTACAAATCGGCGTGATTGATACTTGAGGTTTCACAGCAAGGCAGTGCTACCAGCAACGACAACTTGCATCATGTTATTGAACCCGCTCTCTGTGGCGGCTATCCTTGGAGCCCTTTTGGTGTTCTACCTGGCACGCTGCTATTCATCCCCCTTGTGGAGAATCCCCGGGCCAGCACTGTCCAAAATCACCTCAATCGCCTTGAGATGGCACGAGTTCGGCGCAAATCGAACGCTATACATCCACTCTTTGCACTTGAAGTATGGCCCGGTCGTGCGAATCGCTCCCAATGAAGTTTCATATACGTCTTATGAGGCTGTCAAGGAGATTTACGGATCACTCGGAAGTGGTTATGACAAGCATCGTTTCTACAACCTCTTCAAGGTTTTCGGGCGCAGGTAAGTGCCGATATTACATGGAAAATCTTGAGATGGCGCTGACCGTGAGTTTTGCGCTCGTGATTTAGAACCATGTTTTCAACACTTGTGAAGGGCGATGTAAGTTACCTAGCTTTAAGACTTGTCTGAGGCAGAAAATCTAACTTTGACTTAGCACGCGAAGCGCAAGCGTATCATTGCCGATCGCTATGCTAATAGCAATGTGGTGAAGCCCATAGCGCTGAGCGGTATTGAGAAGCGTGCGGAAGAGTTTGTCAGGCAGTGTGCTGATGCAGCAAGTAGAAGTGTGAATGTCTATGTAAGTTCAAATCTTCAAGCACGAAGAAGTGGCGGCGAGTCCTGTATCAGTAACACTGACACTATTGTCCCTGATCACCAGGTCAAGCTTCATTCTTACGCCTGTGACTGTGTAACCCATCACTTGTTCCACCCTTACGGAACCAATAGTCTCCAGAAACAAGAAGACACGGACATGATGGAGCAAGTCACGACGGACGATAGTCTACGAAGTAAGGTTGCCCGAGTTTATGTGCAGTGGGTGCTTGCTAACCCTCAACTTACTAACCAGACCGCCTTATCCAGCATCACTACCCCGTCTTCTACCAGTACTTCTCTAAGATTCTTGACTTGTTCTTCGATCCACGAACCACTCCCCTTGCTAAGGATTTCGTTATTGGTGCTACCTCCAAAATTGATCCCGCGCCGTTCACCCTGTTAAGCCGCCTTCAAGACAAGAGGGAAAGCGGCAGCAGCGTCAATCAGATGGACGCCATTGACATCGCCGCGGAATGTACTGATCACATGGTAGCTGGCATCGATACAACGGGTGATTCGCTGTGTTTCTTGTTGTGGGAACTGTCACAGCCGGCATCTCTCGAGATTCAACGGAAACTCCGGGAGGAGATTCGAGAGAATCCAGACGCCTCTTTTGACAAGCTTTCTTACCTTGACGCCGTGGTTCAAGAAGGCCTCCGATGCTATCCTGCGATTCCAATGTCCCTACCTCGCGTGGTCCCACCGGGAGGGAAGACCGTCGATGGCTACTTTGTTTCCGAGGGTACCATCGTGAGCAGCCAGGCCTACTCGGTTCACCGCAACAACGATGCAGTCTTCCCCAACCCTGACACCTTCAAGCCTGAACGCTGGCTATCCCCCACCGGAGAAGCCGAGAGGAAGAGACACATGTTTGCTTTTGCTCATGGTGGAAGAGGCTGTGTCGGAAAACAGTAAGGACTTACACTACCTTCCCACAGACTATGGGCGCGAGCTTATGCTAATCCCGAAACAGCCTTGCGTTAGCAGAGATGAAGATTTTACTCCGTGGCATATACGGACGATATTCCACTGTACCAGATCCTTCCATCACTCCCGAGAGTATGCGATCTCAAGACCAGATCATTTCTGCCCGGCCATACGGACAACGTTGTCTCTTGCGATTCGTTCCTATTGCGAATGAAGAGGCTGTATAAGCGACTGCTGGTCACTCCTCTTTGAACTGACATGACGGGAACATGTTTAAAATCGCGAGATGAGTGACTAATGCTCAAGTTGTGAAGAGGCGGACTGGAGATGATTGTAGTAGCGTTCTGAACAGTTGTTGATCAGCAGTGCTAGAGCTAGACCCAGCTGAGGTCGTCTCTGTACAAACAGACGCTACAATAAACTTTTCTAGTACGAGTTGATCACCTCTAGCACGAATCACTTCCAAGCTATCCGTGACCCGTCCACCATTGCTTCTTTACTGAACTAGGATTTCTGATTATCTTGTCAAGTTCTTGACGAGACGATCTCTCCTGAAAAGCGACCTTGGGTTTCATCCCTCTGAACGATGTATTTCGTTCAAGTTGTACTAAAGTCTCTTTACCCATTGCGTCGTCAAAACCCGAGGCGGGAGGCGGGGCGTGAACGCAACGGTTGTGAGTCAAATCATCCTTCAAGAGTGGAGTTGGGGTCTGAAAATCACGGGGGCCTTGGCCACCGGGAAATCCCACCGAGTCAGTGTCGGCATTTCATTGGAACCTTATTCATTGCTGGCGCTGTTGCCATGGATGGTGCAAATTGCGTAGGATCTCTTTTGCTTCATGTCTCACGGCCAAGCGTGACGAAATCCGACTTGATAGTGGATCACCAGTGTCAAAATACAATTCATCACCTTGCGAAAGAGTCTTGAACCGGCGGTGAAGTCACAGCTTTGAAGGCAGCGTACAGAGGTTCAAAATCCAGCTGTTCAGCGAAAAATATCGCGCATTCAATGCGAGAGCGAGCGCCTTTGATCAAAAGTTCGAAAATGACTTCTCGTGACTATTCACAATAATGAGTTGACGTGACGATGTGAAAGCTTGTCTCGGACGGAGAATTGCGCTCGCGAGGCCGGCGGAAATAGCGGGCGCATGCAAAGGTTTTTACAATGAGTTCAGGCTCATTTTACTCAGCCCACCTTGGTCGCGAACTAGTAAATTGGCATTTCTTTCTCTAGCTGTCACTCAGCCCTGGTCAATCAAAGCGTTGAACTCTAAGAGAGAGCATCTTGATCTAATCCTTGCTCAATAAGGTTGTAATCCACCGGACGGTCCGGGATGCAGTGCCTTTCGAAGCACACAAGCATGGCCTACATGCTGCAACGGGACCATAATGTAGTCTGTATCTCGACCACGGCAAACGATATGAGAAAGACGATCAAGTCAGTACAGGCAGGATTGTACTCCGTAGTGTACTCCGAAGTAACCAAATACCCGCAGAGTCCGGGCCCGGCCTTGGACTCAGAAGATGTTCGTCTGTTAATGTGGAGCCCGTTATTCAGAGTTCGTGCTCTTTAATCAATTTGACTTCATTACCTCTTTGAGTCAAACTCTCCTTGGTGATTGGCCTTGGCTCTCAACTTTACCGGACCGCCGGGCTCGGTCGGCACCTTTTGCCTTGGAATACGGCATGTACGGATATATAGCTTCTATAGTCGCCACGCCTTAATAACCCGGTCTTGGAAAGAAGCACATCTCCAGTCACTCCTTTGATTACCTAGTCATTCTTTTTTCCACCACTTCTCTTTGCCATGCGTTCTCACCTTTTGTCGCTGTGCGCTTTCAGCGCCACATTAATTAGTGCCGCTCCCTCCGGCCTCGGCTGTTATGACGAGTCCGCCTTCAAACCCGAGGACATCATCCAACGCGACGTTCTCGTTATCGGAGGTGGAGCTACCGGAACCTACGCCGCCGTCCGTCTTCGGGACCAGAACAAGACCGTCGCCGTCGTAGAGCGCGCCGACAAACTCGGAGGCCACGTTAACACCTTCCGCGACCCCGCGACCGGCGCACCTATCGATTACGGCGTACAGGCATTCATTCAGAATGACCAGACAACACAGTTCTTCGAGCGCTTCAACGTCCAGCTGAACGCCTCCGCTCTGTCTCCTTTCCCGAGCAAGATTGTCGACTTCAAGACCGGTTTCGTCGTCCCCAACGCCACGGCCGTCGACCCCAATACCCTCGTCGGGCCCCTGGCGAACTACCTTTTCGCCACTCTCAACTTTGACTTCTTGGCTGAAGGCGCCTACGATATCCCCGAGAACGTTCCTGAGGATCTTCTTCTGCCCTTTGGCCAATTCGTCCAGAAGTACAACCTGACCGAGGTTGTCCAAGTCGTCTGGATCTTCGCCCACGGTGTTGGCAACCTTCTCGAGACCCCAACTCTGTATGTCTTGCAGAACTTTGGCCAGCCCCATCTCCTCGGTCTCTCCAGCGGCTACCTGTACGCCCCTGGTGGCAACCAGCAGGTGTACGACAAGGCCGGCGCTTTCCTCGGAAACGACGTCCTGTACTCCAGCACTGTCGTTGCCTCCAAGCGCTCTGATGATGGCGTCAAGGCCGTCGTTGCCACCTCCACGGGCCGCAAGCTCATCAAGGCCAAGAAGCTCCTGATCACCATCCCTCCTACCATCCAGAACCTCGCGCCCTTCGACCTCGACGACTCTGAGACTTCCGTCTTCAACCAGTGGGAGAATGTCCCCTACTACGTTGGTGTCGTCTCTGACTCCGGTCTTCCTGACCTAACCAACTTCCTCAACGTCGATATTACCGCCCCTGATGCCCTCCCCTCCAAGCCTTTCGTCTGGCGCCTGGAGACCGTCGGCGTTCCCGGCTACCAGACCGTCAAGGTCATCGGTGAGGCTGACTCTACCAAGGCCCAGGGCTTGGTCACCGATGCCGTTCGTAAGGTCGGAGCCTCTTCCAACAGCACCTCTGCGACTGGCGGCGAGTTTGCCGCTTGGGAGGAGCACTCCAACCTCCAGCTTCACGTTTCTACGGAGGCTGTCAAGGCCGGTTTCTACCGCGACTTGTACGCTCTTCAGGGAAAGAGAAGCACATACTACACCGGCAACGCTTGGTGCTCTGACTACTCTCCTCTGCTTTGGCAGTTCACTGAGAAGAGAATTCTCCCCTCCCTGTAAAGGAGATTTTGTTCATAGAACAGCGTAATTAGTAATTTGACATACCACTGCTGCGAACACCTTTCTTGGTCTGGTCAAACCAATGAACCTCTATCATTCATCTTTAGTGCTATCACCCACTGAGCCTTGACACCTGAATAACTTACAGTTTGAGTGACTACTTAGTCTCCAAGAAGAATGTTCTTTGGCTCATGGCTCTTAATGTCACACCGCGACATTGTATACGTGAATGGATGCTAGTACGGACATGTGACTAAAAGTTGGCCCCCTGCCATGTTTCTCTGCACGAGTTTCGAATTGAGTAATTAGAGCAGCGCCCCTATAGTATACTCCATTGAGCTCACAGAGATACAAATAGGTCCCTGCCAAACCAGCCTCGAGGATAGGTGCAAGGTCTGAAATCTTCCCGTCAAAAGTTTAAAATAGCTTTTTTCGTCCTGCTTCTTCAGTGTTCAATTAGTTTTCAAATCTTACAAGAATGCTCAGTGGAGTTGACCTGATACTCTACTCGTAAGAAAGAACTCAAGATTTGGTCTTATGGTATGCGAGTATTGTTGTCCAGGTCCTCTGGTTTATATTGGCATTACAAAACTGACCGAACGTTAGACATAAAATGGCCCTCAAAAAGGGGTGCCCCGTTTATGGATGAGCATCAGATATATGTACACATTAGGGCAAATGAATATATCGGCCAGCTAGTTGACTCTAATGTTTCTAACAAAATGTGCAGTCATAAGATCTTCTATCCTGCTCAACATCGGTTAGTCGCATTCTCCCATGTTTCTGGCCCCGGCGATCCTTCACCAACAGGGGATTTAGTTTAGTAATCCATTCACACACGAGTACCGGAGCTTTTTAGTCAACGTGCTCCAGGAATTGCGATTTTGAGGTGGATCAGCTAGAGGGTAGCATTATTGATCTAAATCTAGGCTCTCGTCGCTGATTATCGTCTTCGTGAAATGGGAATTTGTGCACCTTGCCTAGGTAGGACACTTATGTCGTAGTCACGGTGACCTGGTCGTTCTAGTACACCAGAATAGAAGTTATCACCGTGATACGTCATCGTCAAGCATGGAGGGGCTCTGCTTGAGGCATCGTCGCCACTCGTTCTAGTGAGAGGCTTCAAGACCAAGTGTAGGTCCCAAGCTCTCATTTTCCCACCTTTGAGACATGTGTGGGGTGGTCGAGGCCCTTGCTGTATTTTGGGGCACCGTATTAATGCTGCAGTGGTCACATTGTTATGCCTTAAGCACAAGCCTACTACGCCCCTCTAGAGATCTTTGAATTAGCACCAACCCCAACTTTACAGACTCTAACGGCGAGAGGGAGAACTCAATGCTCAAAGCAACGAATTGCTCACATTGCAGAACAGAGCACTCGGCATTCAAAAGAAACATCAATCCTGTTCCAAGAAATTGGACACCCAGTCCAAGAGGCCATAGGAGACGCCGAGTTTCATGATGGCACTCGACTAAGCCTGTTCCTGCAGCCTGGGAAAACCTTAAGGCTGAAGTGATCTTGGCAGTCGGCCTGTCTCCGAGAGGTCGGCCTCTGATTTTACGATTAGTTGGCGGCGCTGCGGACAGTCCCGCCCCCCGGACTCCGTGAACCGGCCGAGGTGGTGTTGTGGGGAGCTTCAAAAGCCACGACCAATAGAAATACCGATGCCGGCCTTCGGGGAGTTTTCATTGGTTTTTTCCATCAACGCATGAAAGGCGCGCCTAATCCATGAAGCATCAAGTGGCAAATACACCGCTGCCAAGGCCCCCTGTCAGAAGGTTGGGGGCTGGGTTAAGCTTGGTCACCAATAATTCCACGATCCGCCGGCGGCCTATTCCCCGAATGAGCCTATTTGGGAGGTGGGCAGCGGTCTAGAATGGCTGCTCGAGTCAGTGAGCATACTTTCTTTAGCAACCTGTCAGCAGTTTTGGGTGTAAGCGAGGAAGCACGCTGTTTCAGTCCAAGCCCGCAAACTCCGACAGAAACAACCAATAAATTGTTTCGGGTGGCCTTTGATGGGAAACCTCAGAAAATGGACAGACTTTCTCTAGCGGCTATGCTTTGATGATTTGACTGTAAGTAGCAAAGGCCTGTCCAGTATGACAAAATATCTCAAGGCAATTATGTCAGAGTAACATGGTCATTCGCATATGCTATCCAACGAATATGTCGATTTATTGAAGAAAACGAAAAGGCAGCCACCACTTTCTTCTCTTAGTTCCACATGGCTCGTGACCCAAAATAGCATGTTTTAAAACCACTTTACAGAATACCACACCATCTCTCATATATGTCGTCCGTTAAGGTCACCCGGTCTGACATATACATAGTCTGAACGGGGGGCTCTCGAGCCATTTAGAGTATCCAGTAGGGCTGGGTGCGTGTGGGGGACGTAACATACACAGAGGGGCAAAGTGCCAAGAAACAATGCATTGGGTGACTGGCCTTGACATGTTCAGCTCTTTACTGCAGAGCCAGGTAGTATGGTTCAGCTCTACAGAGCAGAATTAGGTAGGTAGTATTATCGGCCTTGTTCAGAATGACCGTCCGCCGAGCCGCACCAGCCCAAAATGGCCTTGAGATAGTCTTGGATCAATCAATATGAGGTTCATGGAGCCATCTAACCGAAAGGTGTTCGGACGTCACGAGCAATCGAAACCCGCGCCGAGAGTCCGGTAAGACTAACGACCTTGTCTTCATTGCCTTAGAAGGCCTTCAATGAGACCTTCATACTTTTCCCCTGAATATTCACTGCCCCCAATATGGAGTCTTGAACGTCAAAATCAGACAGGCCTCAATCTCGGAAGGCTTGGTTAAACATCGTGTTCTGGCGACTGGTTGGCCTTGATGCCACCCACGGCCCTCAACTTGGTCAGGCCAACTAAAGACGTCTAGAAGTTTGTTTAATTGCTATTTTCAACGTGAGACGAGGATTATAAATGCTCAGCTCCTTGGCAGATGCTTTGGTGATCTTCAAGATAGTAATCAAGACATCATACAAGCAAAGCATCATCATCATCAGATATTCGAGTATAAAGAGCAAGCCTTCGTCCTTTTCCAAAGCTATCATTTCTTCTTCATTCATCGCATCAATTTCCTTCCTTTCACTCAGACTCAACTTTCATTCGCTTTACAGCACACCCACATTCACTTTTCATTCATTTGATTCCTTAACTTTCACAATGGTTTCTTTCAAGGTCTCCAACATCCTGGCCCTCGCTGCCGCCGTTGCAGCCGCGCCTACTGAGCTCCTTCAGTCCCGCGCCGTTGTGGCTCACGACTCCATCAGCCCCGTCGCCCAGAGAATACAGACTGGCGGCCTCGGCAAGGTCATCGAGACCTTCAACCCCCTTCTCCACATCGCCCACGGTTGCCAGCCATATCCCGCCGTTGCCGATAACGGTGATACCAGCGGTGGTCTTCAGGATACCGGCAGCTCCACCGGCGGCTGCCGCGATCAGTCTAAGGGTCAAACGTATGCCCGCGCTGGCACAGTCGACGGCAAGACGGTCATCATGTACTCTTGGTACTTTCCCAAGGACCACCCCACCGGCGGTGACGTCGCCGGAGGCCACCGCCACGACTGGGAGAACATTGTCCTCCAGATCGACGACCCAGCCGCGGCTACCCCCAAGATCATCGGCGGAGCTGCCTCCAGCCACAGCGGCTACAGCAAGGCCAACGGCGCTCCGCCCATGGACGGTAACAGCGCCAAGGTTGAATACTTCACCACCTTCCCGACCAACCACGAGCTTCAGTTCACTCAAACCAAGGGCAAGACTTACCCCATCTCCGACTGGGATGCTCTCCCCGCCGCCGCCAAGACCGCTCTTCAGGACACCAACTTTGGAAAGGCCAACGTTCCCTTCAAGGATGGGAGCTTCGAGAGCAAGGTCCGCGAGGCTCTCAAATAGATGGGCATTATATACATGACATAACGGCTTTATGGGCGCTCCATTACGATTTTTACGAATGTGTTCTTTGGTCAACCATTGTTGTGAATTTGGGTTCATTTTTCATTAGCTAGCTATTTCTGATCTATCTTTCCAATACGATGAGTCTGAGTTGTTCTTTCAAAACTTTGCAATGTAACGATTGGCATTGAGTTGTTGTGACATGCTGGACTCTCATACTCTATCAGGAGTACAATGCATGCCAAGTATGCGCTTCGTTGAGTTCTTGAACTCCAATTTCTCTTATCTATAATGTTTCAATTTCAAAAAGCGCCTTCGGTTGACGTGTGTAGAGACACTGTTCCGAAATCTTGAAATGCCAGTGTTGATTATCAGAGGCTGGCAAATTGTCAGCAGCTTTTTCTGCCCTCCATTGACTTCATGCGCTGTGCATGAGACACGAGATGGCCCGACCTCTCGACCTGTATCCACATAACATAGGGAACTTCAGCGCGAAGATCCGTTATCTTGCCGATCTCAGACGGGAGTCGATTGACTTTCCGATGTGTTTGGTTGATCTAAATTCTGCTCACCTTCTCCGTGGATTTTATGCCCAACAGTTGAAACGAATCCTTCAGCTATCCGATGTCGAAGGACCGCAACCTATTTATCTACGTAATGCTCAAAGAAAAATAAATTCGATATTGCAACGACTAGGCTTCAGTATTTCATTTTCATCAATCTTCATAAAATCATGTTAATTTCTGACAATATGACTTTCGGTATCCTCTCTCGGCCTGGGCGAATTGAGCTGGCCCCTATTCCTAGGTAGGTAACTCATTGTAATATCAAACAATCACGGCCAGAAATATACAACTTACGATTCAATCTCTGATCTTTCAATAGCTTCATTAGCCTCACTATTCGTTCATCACAAGATAAGGTAGTTCTTCCGACATGCTGAGCCCAGCTCATACTTTCGGATAATCACAGTCAGCCTGACAATTGATTCAAGGAACTTTGACAACATTACACAGGCTATTTTTGACAATTTCGTACATCAGACATCTCGATACACGAATAATACTGATTGGTCCAGACAATTGA